ACCCAGGTACATGCCCTTGACCGGAATCGAACCTGGGACCTTTCAGTCCACAGGCCGACGCTCTATCCTCTGAGCCTAACCGGTTTCGGCGAGCTTGCCGTATTTTATAAATGAAGTTGAAGTCTCATGCACTGAACGAAATGAAATATTTGTCAACATTGGGCCTAACCATTTGTCAGTCAGTTTCTCCCGTGTGTTTACCAGGATTGCAATAGAGCGTGTCTCATTCCCCACAGGACCTTCAGAGAGACATAGAGAAGCACAGCACGGGCGTGGCTTCCGTCCTCAACCTGTGTGAGGTCCTGCTGCATGACTGCGACGCGTGTGCCACCGACGCCGAGTGTGACTCCATCCAGCAGGCCACGCGGAATCTGGACCGGCGATGGCGAAATATCTGTGCCATGTCCATGGAAAGAAGGCTCAAGTAAGCTGGGATGTTCAAACCGCTGGGAAAGAGGAAGGACCAAAAAGGAAAAACACTTACCCAGAGTAGCCATTGGTCACTATTTCCTTTCAGTTGCAAAATCCAGAAATAGCCTGGGTTTTCCGAGTTCATCGTTGTCCACATTTAGCTGGGAAAACAAAGAGATAGAAAGGTAACATGCAAATATAACAAGCCAAATGATGCCTGACCAAACCGTTTAAATTTCATTCAGAGAAATACGCCGTTGCTGAATAAGCATGTTACAGAATGGGTAGTTGAACAATACCATTCTGTTGTGAAAAATTAAATGATAAAGCCAAGGGCTTATCTTACAGCCCTTTGAAATTCCAGGCAGGAAAAGACAGTGCTGTGTTAGAAAATTAAGACCCATAATCTCTGTGCTCTCTGGGGAACTCTGGAAAGCTCACTCTTTGTCTTGCTGTCCTCGACTGATTTTGATGGGGGTGAGTTTGATGTTGGACTTCAGTGGGTTTTCAAACCTTGTTTTGTTTCAGCAAAGCCTTGGCACGCATGTGCGCCCTGCAAACGTGGCCTTGCGCTTCCACACTTCCTTGCACCTTTCCGAACAGTTCACATCATGTGCATGTAACAACCGATGTGACTAATTCCACATCCACAGCCGCAGGATGTGTTTAAAAAGAAACCCACAAACAGCTGCGTCGTGTCAGCTCCAACAGTTGTCCCCTTTGCACTCGGGTCAGAGTTGGCCCCAGCACAGCGAGTGTTTGGCACCACAGCTGCGTGTTTGGTCTTAATCCCGTGGCAGGTTCTGGAGCAGGCAGGGTCCCAAACAGTCAGACTCTGTTCTTTCGTGTTCTGTCTCAGAATTGAAGAGACATGGCAGTTGTGGCAGAAGTTTCTGGATGACTATTCGCGTTTTGAAGATTGGCTCAAGACTTCCGAAAGGACAGCCGCCTTCCCCAGCTCTTCCGGGGTCCTCTATACAGTTGCCAAGGAAGAACTGAAGAAATTCGAGGTGAGCTATCGTTCCCAATCTCTCATCCTGCTGTTGCTGTGGCAGTCCCCAGCTGGTAGTCGGTGTCCCAGGACAGAAACTCATGTTCGCCCGCGCATTCTTTTCTTCAAACAGCTGGGGGATAAGGCTGTGACCATCTTTGTTACCATCTCATAGACAGGCAAGACGTGGGGGACGAGACTTTTATTTTAAGATGATCAGGAATTACAAATACAAAAATAAATATAAATAAATAAATAAAAGAATTGCAAATACAAAAATAAATAAATAAGTAAAAGAATTACAAATACAATACAAAATAAAGTAATGAAGAGGAATTTTATTAGAAAACAAATTTC